TTTTTAGGTTATAAAAGCGTACGATCACAAATACCAACAATATGTGGCGTTAAAACTGGTGCGCAATGAGAAACGTTTTCATCGACAAGCCGATGAAGAGATTAGGATTTTGGTAAGAAATTGTTGAAAATATACATCTGTCTTCGCTAAAAAATCGCTTTTTAGGATCATTTGCGTCGCCAGGATACAGATGGATCGCATAACATCATACATATGTTAGATTACTTCAATTTCCGAAACCACAAATGTATCACTTTTGAGCTGCTCAACATCAATTTGTACGAGCTTATCAAAAAGAACAAATTCCAAGGATTCAGCTTGATGGTGAGTAACTTGAGAGCGAAGGTATCTGTTATAATGTAATTTATGGGCATGTGTTACAGTTGGTACGCAAATTTGCGTATTCTATGCTCCTATGTCTGGATTTGTTACAAAGGAATCGATTAATCCATTGCGATTTAAAACCGGAAAATGTTCTTTTGAAACAGCAAGGACGAAGTGGTATCAAAGTGAGTCGGTTTCATATTTTAACTTCGTGACTTTTTTTGTGATTTAAAAAGCTTCGGCTCAACGATAAATCTTTTGAAAGGGTAGTTTTCGAGCAATTGTCTTTTTCGGCATCAGAGGCGCAGCTCTTTAGCAAGGGCTGGATTTGCCAGTATTGATAGGGCAAACTTCGCGCTGGTTACATCCATTGTCGTTTTATTAGCATTAAACAGATTATGTGAATGTACTGAATTTGTTAGTTTGGAAATGACAACAGGCTAAAATTGGAAATGAACAAATTTGTATTATATGTAGTTCTATTAAAAATCAAATTTCAGGTCATCGACTTTGGCTCATCCTGTTTTGACGATCAGCGCATTTATACCTACATCCAATCACGGTTTTATAGAGCACCAGAAGGTAGGACTTGAAATTACTTCAATTTTTTTCATGATTTATCTATTTTCCCCTTTTATAGTGATTCTTGGTTCCAAATATGGAATGCCGATCGATATGTGGTCTCTCGGTTGTATTCTAGCCGAGCTCCTAACCGGATATCCGCTCCTCCCTGGTGAGGACGAAAATGATCAGGTTAGTGTCATTTTCGCCAATTTACTGAATTGTTGGAAATTGCTTTGCTATGCAGGATAAAATCTACTTTTTTTAGCTTGCCCTAATTATCGAATTGCTAGGAATGCCACCAAATAAAGTTTTGGAAAATGCTAAACGGGCACGTACATTTATATCATCTAAGGTTTGTGTGATTTTTGATTTTCGGATTTTGGTCTCCTATTTTCGGATTTTTAGCTCTGTTCGCATCTTGTTTGTTTGCTCATTTTCATAGTAATTTTCTAGGGATATCCTCGTTATTGCACCGCATCTGTCATGCCAGATGGCTCCGTTGTATTAAGTGGAGCACGAAGCAAACGAGGGAAGATGCGCGGACCACCAGGCAGTCGAAGTTGGAATACGGCTCTCAAAAATATGGTAATTTTTTGGTCTTCAAAAAAGTCAACCTCCTGCTAAGGCAGAGACTGCAGCTTTTTTCGTATGCATGGACGTGTCATTGCTTTAAAACTTTTTCTATAATTTCTGCAGATTTTTGCAAAATTGTGATTTTTGATTGCAAATTTCTTTTCTATCAGCCGTGTCTGTCAAGTAGCCATGAAAAACCAGCACTAAGCTGTCCTCATTTTGCTAATCTGATTAGTGCAGTATTGGCATTTTATCACACAAAATTGCTGAAAGCACTAATTCATGTATCTCGAAAAAAATTCCGATATGAAGCAAAAATTCTTCTTATCGCTCTTTGTTTTTTTGGGTTATTGCGGTTGTGACTTTTTGC